TTTTTTTTTCCTAATGTAACTTCGATAATCGAAAATGAAGTAAGGGGCAAATCTTCGGAACCCAGAGGTGGCCCAATGTCTTTGCCGCAGGGGGTCCCGCATTTTCCAGCGCCGGGCCTGCTGCTGACTCAAGTTTATACAGTTGCTTTTCTTTCTATTTTCATCAGCGGCGTATCGTCGGGAGAACCAGGGGAGAGGTGGCACGTGGCCCCCCACCACCCCAACTTCTCAAGAATAGAAGTAAATAAAAAGGGAAAAGACCCCAGATATGCATGATATCGCAGAGTTTCCGAGCCCCCCCCCCCCACACCTTTCCATCCATGCTACGCTTATGATTTTCATCGACGAGGTCTCCGCTCCTCGAACTCAGGCAATAAGCTAACGAAAGACAAGGTTTAATTCAAAATACTAATTGAAAAAAATCGTAATTTTCTTCCCATTTCCTTCGAATTACTGAATAGGAAATATCTGCCATGAATAAGCATTCCTCATCTTTTATTTATTTCACTTTTTGTTACTATCCCACGTCAGCCTATTGGAAGTGGAAACGGTGAACCACAACGAATAGAAACGATAATGAATTCATCGTTTCTATTCATTTTCTATTCGACATTCTAGATTCATATAACTAAGGCTGTACCGAAGGCCACCTTAGCCTGGTGGGCCGATGACCTATTTACATCTCGTAGCCATCAGTGGTGCCGATTGTCGTCTGAAAGTTGAGGAGTAACTGGAAATTGCATTATAATTCAAATTCAATAAAAGGAATATCCATTCCACAGGAAGGAACAGCTTGTGATTTTGGAGCGCTTGCGTACAGACAGCAATAAAAGCATTCACTTTCATATAACTAAGGCTGTACCGAAAGCCACCTTAGCCTGGTGGGCCGATGACCTATTTACATCTCATAGCCATCAGCGGTGCCGATTGTCGTCTGAAAGTTGAGGAGTAACTGGAAATTGCATTATAATTCAATAAAAGGAATATCCATCCCACAGGAAGGAACAGCTTGTGATTTTGGAGCGCTTGCGCACAGACAGCAATGAACGCATTCACATTCGAAGACCCTAACAACCTGAATGCTGTTAGGACCGCAGAAGAAGTTCATTGCAGCTTGCTACATGACTAGCAGAAGGGCAGCATGTGTTGTGTGCTTTCACTCCCGATACAATTTTAAATACCTACGCAAGCACATGCTGCTTCTGGTCCGCGGAATAGCTGGCAGAGCTTATAAGTAGACTTCTGTGCCCGAAAAAATTGCCTGGCAGAGATAGAGAAAGTTTTCTGGAAAGGAATAATCTAGTTACTGCGTTGAATTACGTTTGCATTCGTGAAAAAGAACTAGGAGGAAAAAAATATATATTTTCGTTTGCGAGGAAAATAAATCATACGATGAAGGAAGCAGTAATTTACAAAATGTCCGGAAATTTTGTCCTGCAGAAGTATTATAAAAACTTATATTGAAAATCTTATTATAAAGTTTAAATTGCTATACAAAGACTCGGAAACGAATTTTAAAATAAAAACGTGAAACCACATTTACTTCTTTGAGAAAGAAGGCCTTCTAGATCAGGATCTGATCAGAGGTGAGTTTAGTTGTTTGGCGCGTTTCGAATTGCGAAACGATTGGCGAAAACTGGACTAAAAGGCAGATCTTAATCCCGGCAGAGACGTTAATTAAAATAAAGTTCTGGTGGCAAGAAGTGGGCTATAACTAAAACCTATATTATTTTGAGTGCTAAAATCATTGCGGAGTTGAGTTTATGAACAGTGATCGTTTCGAATTCAAATCAAGAATTTCATTTTTTCTAAGCATTCTTGCCGGCTGCCTCGCTTCTCTCTGCTTTATCTCGAAAACATTTCGGTATACGAAAAATCCTGTCCAAACAAGACTTGTAGTCCAGAGTCTGCCCTGGCCAATTGTATAATTTACTTTGGTTGTTTGCTGCTATTTAAGTAAGATAAACGTATGCAAAGGATAATGCCTCTATCATGCACCTCCCTTTCCGTCAGAACCCGTCCCCCCCCCCCCCCCCCCCTCCTCCTACATCTTGACAGTGACACGCTTGACGAAAAATCACTTTCTGACAAGTTTTGTATTCTAGTAGCCACCTAAACCGGTGGTATAAATGTTAAAGCTGTACGTTTTCATTTTAGTCTAATACTCACCCAAATAGACATCCTTTGCGTGCGTTCATCTCACATAAATATGGTCAAAAAGCCCCCCAAATTCCGGGTGTTTCTTCTCAACAGCATAGTCATACGTATTCTTACTTTCAACTGCTAATGAGTTTCACATTATTTAAACTGGTCTTTGCTTTAAAAAGTAACATCATATCACTATGGAACTCATTATCGTGACCTTTGACCATTCGCCACGGTCAGGTGCTTGACCTGAGAGTGCCAAAAAGTGGCTTCAAGGCCCTCCATTGGGGTCCTCTACAATAATTATAAGCCAGAATTTGATTCTGGGGGGGTCGATTTTCATCTTCCCTTAGTACCTTACGTCAATCTGCCAGTGCCACAATTAAACAATCGATTAGCTCGACCAGCTTCACAGATGAAATGCATGGTAGACACAAGCCTAGAATGGAATGAAGCGAGAGCATGGCTTGGGAAAGCTCAAGCCTATGAAGTAAAAGCGAAAAAGGGGGGAAGGGCTAGGCGTAAAACAATCCAATCAAAGAAAAGTGTAGCCTGGGGAAAGGCACTACCATGCATTCAGCTAATTGTGTCCTGCACTGACAGATTAGAACGATGTCCAGATTGCTCCTGCTACCTTCAAGCCCTGACCTCGAGGCACATTAGGCCAATAACACCCGACCCAACCCGTCATTAGCTGGTAGTGCCTTTCCCCAGGCCACACTTTTCTTTGATAGGCTTGTTTTACGCCTAGCCCTACCCCCCTTTTTCGCTTTTCACACTTTCCAGATTTCGACTGTGTCCTCTTCACGTGCGAGCTTTCTACGTTTCCTCCTCAGCGCATTGAAGGTGAACAAAATCCAAAAGCATTCTAATCATTAGATCTATCGAATTATATAACATTCGCATGTTCACTCGCACTTTTAACGCTTTCAAGGAGCTAATAAGCGTAATCCATGACTTTCATTAATGTCCCCTTCGCCCACTCCCTTGCCTCTGCCCTGAAGTTGGTGACCCACGGATGCAGGTTATACGTCAATTGCATGAATCTTGACATTCAATTTGAATTAATCACATCGGACGTTTAAATCTATAATGTCGACACAGAAACGTGATGAGCGAGGAAACTGTAGGGGTTGGAATTAGCATTACTGTTTCCTTGTTCAACACTCGAAGGGGATTAAAGGGAGTTAGGGATTAAAGTATATCACATTCTTGTGAATACCTGATTTCTGTTCAGTTTCACGAAGGTGAAGTATTCATGCTGAAATCATTTTGGGAACACATTGCTATTGTAAAAATAATGGTCTCGTGTTTGGAAAAGTACCATTAGAAATAAAGACGATGAAACATTAATTTTTGAAGCTAACGTTTACTAACTCCCAAATCACTAATGCTTCGAATGTCATCAATTTGCTTCATGACAGTAGTTCAAATTGTAGACCGTAACTAAATCTAGACTTAATGAGAATTGATTGAAAAAATGTGATCGTTTTCCTCACTGGTAAATTCGTAATAGGCATTGGAAACTCTGAGTAGATACGTCTGAAGGAGTGACATAGCTCAGAACGTGCGACTATAGAGAGGAAATGCACATGATATGTAGAATACATGTTTATTTTGATAGAAGGGAAAGCATATGCATGGAAGTTGGTGCTATATTTGAACAACTATTTTCTTAGGGCTTCAGCAGAGATTTTAAAAACTATACATAAGGATCACTTTCTAATTAATCCGTATCAGCTAATGGATATTATACGTGATATTCTCTTCTTAAAATCCCAAAGCAGGCTTTACGTCTATGATAAGGAAAACATCCTCACTATGACATAATGCATATACAGCAGACGATTTGTTCTTTCCCCCTGGTCGAAGAGAAGCTCCCATATGCACCGAGACAATTACATCTCCTGGAAGGATGCCAAATCATAAACAAGGAAATTTTAGGATTTGATAACTGACCATCCTTTTTCTTTGATTTTCTGATATGCACGGTAAGCCCATGATCGAGAATTGTTAGAATCAAAGTGAGACATATCCATACCTAGGTTACTGAACTCTTTCATGCATTCTTCTAATGGATCATAATTTTCATCCAGATTCTCGGCCAATTTCGCTTTTTCCTTTGCATCTAGAAGGTATGCGATTCTCTGTTCAAACCCAGGTTTTCCTCCTCTTTTTTCGCTCTCAACCAAGAGGTCAATGTATTGTGTGATGCCCAATGGATCGGGCTTCAGGGCTATCTCGTTGAGCTTCTGCAAGCATTGGTGTGCCTCCCTTGTCAGCTTCAAGACATTTGTCCTCTCTACGTTGAAGTCCTTGATTAGTTCGTGCAGAATGCGTTTGGCATTCATTTTTTCCCCAGAAGCTTCCTCATACTTCTTCTTCAAATCATGGTAAGTATGTTCCTCCTCTTCAACATAGGTTTCAAAGCGATACGGGTTATTGTGATGTTTGTTCCACACGCACTTCTGTGGACAAACACCACAGACTCTGTCGGTGATCCGGAGAATGGATCGGCCCACCGGTCATCGCAGCACAATTAGCCTTGTTCTTGTCATCTGGAATGAAACATGGAAAATGGCAAGTGAAGCTGCAGACTATGCAGTTCGTCACGTACGTCCCCACTTCCAGGTTCACCATTTTATGCTTTGGGACATTGACTTTGTATTTGAAGTTCTTGTTGGCATCAGCCTCTATTTCGTGCTGTTTCAAGGCTGCATATGTTTGCCTTACCCTTTCCGCCCTCGCCAAAGCTAGAAAAATATTTCACGATAAAAATAGTATCAGCTACCAATATCTTCATCGCGTCAATGGAGAAACGTTGGAATATCGTATCTCACCTGTTTTAATTTGTGGCGTGATACCCTGGAGTGCTGCCTCCAAGTGTTTCCTCTGCTTCAGAACATCTTGTGTAAGAGTCAAACTCACAGGCTCTGTGCAAAGGAATTTCTTGAAGAAATTATCAAAGCTTGATATTCCCATTTCCCAAAAGAAATTGTTCAACTTTTCAGCATCAGGCTCATCAGAGGGGTTCACAAAAAATGCTGAATTGTTTACTTTGAAAGAATTTTCGCACGGAATTTCCGCATCTTTGAGGGCAATTAGCACAGGAGGCTTCTGGCCATCCGCAAATGTAGTCAGCACGTAGATGATTTTTTCAACATCTTTCCCAAACACGGCTAAGATTGAATCAAAGATGTACTTTTGAGTGTGAGTCAGCCTGGCCAAGGAGGACTGGACAACGAAACATATTCCATCAAGCTGATCCACTCCGATGTTCCCACCATGTGAAAAGAATTCGCGGATTTGAATTCTCAACTCATCGTCTGCCTTGATCCCTTCAGTATCTCCAAACCCAGGAGTATCGACGACGGTCAATGTATAAGGTAAAGCGAATCCCTCCACATTGTGCAGAACATACGCCGTGATCCACTTAGTCTGACTATGAGATTGGGTCTTCTCTCCTGCTTCGTCCACGATCAGTTTGAAGCGAAAAGGGTCATCCCACTTCACTCCATACAAATAATTCACCATCCCATTGATGAGTGTACTCTTGCCTGGTAATAAGAAGTAGGTATAAGAATTCAACTGAATATAAATTTAGCCGAGAAGCGTTCATCTTAAATGAGATGGACATTACCAGCTCCTGTGGCTCCAACAAGCATGAGCACCTTTCCCGATGCACTTCCAGGTCCTTGCTCCCCGATCTCGAACTTGGCCAAACGATTATTTTGATCTAAGGCCACACTCTCCCGGGGAAGTAAATGAATGAATCCGTCAATGCTAGTGCACGTCCTATGCATTTTTTGGGCCAAGGTTACCTCTTCTCTCTGCCGTCCCGATGCTCCCTTCGGAGAGAAAATTTTCACCGTTTTTCAGTGACGGGTCACAGTTAGCGTTTATTTTTAACCAGCTACTTTGATACCATACAATGCTCAGACCAACTATTGCATACAAATTCCTTGGAACACATGTAATTTTATTGTCACATTTTAGTTACTTCTGCTTGGCGTTATTCCCAGTCCAATGCTAGGAAAATTAAGCACGATGAGATTCTTTGTTTTACTAAAAATTTCCCCTTAAAATTGCTCCTGTGATATGATTTTAAGTACAAATTTGAAAATTGTTTTTTTCAAAGCAATAACTAGTCAAGTAAACCGTTCCCCAGCTTTCATTGTTTTTTTTAAACGTAATTTTCTAAAATGCATGCCTGCCAATTTTTCGCTTTTCTTGTCAAACTTATTTGAAAAAAGTTCATATTAAGATTTCCTTTAGATGCATGTGCTCTGAGGACATATGCCCACAAACCCAAATTTTTCCTGAACTCAGCATAGGCTTTCGAGTTTGCATTTTCTCCATTTTATATTCATGACCAGAGTCAGGAAAAACTCAAGCAAATTATCCTTAGATGAACTCAGCGAGGACATGTTTTACTTAAGAATTAATATTTTTCTTGAGATGCGATAGCCATAAAGTACGTTCATATACCAGATTTCTTTCTAATTCTATCAGGTTGTAAAGGTGAAATTTAGATATTTCGATTTTTTCTAGAAAAATCTGGAAAATGTTAGAACTTTCTATGTAGGTGTATAAGTAGAGTGACCAGTGGGCATTGTGGGCGTGAATGCTTATGGTGAACCTAAAACAGATACATTGACGCAAGACTGCACTCTAGTCGTTGTTGAGTTAATTGTCAATAAATTGTTTTCTGGAAAATGTCTAAATTTCACCTTTACAACCTGATAGTTGAAACAAAGAAATTACTTGATGAAGAGATCCCACACAAAATATCTGCCCAGGGGCACACGCCTAAATGTACCTTTCATAAGGCGAACATCTCATGAGGCATATAATAACTAAGTTTCAGCTTCCCATGTCTCTCAGTTGGAAAAAACAATTTCTCTGGAAAGTTCTCTCTTGAAAATTTCCCCTAGGATGTCTACCGCCAAATTCTGAAACGTCAAAATTCTTGATTTTCCAGGCATCTGAGAGCCAGCTTTAAAATTAACTCATCAGTAGGCAACAAAGTTTTTGGCAAATTATTGGATTTTGGAAGGGCAGCAGCTATTCTACTAATATGGGTAATGAATAAAAAAATACCCAGTTTCGGCCTTTGAACTATTGATAATTTCAAATACATGTGTATATTTCGAGAGGGCGTCCTTAGCCAAACCTAAAAATGTAATTATTTTTCAATTCTGAGCAATTTGAAAAAGTTAGGTTAGGTTTCCCCATTTTTGGCCTTAAACCGTTTTTGTGGAATTTCATAATCATGTAATCGGTTTCACTTATAAAATTGTAAAAATTTAATTTTTATACAAATGTGAAGGGTTTCAAAAAGTTAGGTTAGGTTAATGTATTTCACTGTTTTCAAATGGGACTTCCAATAAATGCCTTCTGCATAGCCAACAACTTTGAAAAAATATGTTGGAAGTAATCATTGAACTTTACCTGGGAATTGAAAAATCTAGCAAAAAAGTTTGAATGTATTCTTCATGATGAAAAAAAAAGTTATATGATGTATCTTGGATTGTTAGATTTTACTAAGTATAATTCACTTGCATTTATATTGTGATTTTTTCTTGGTAGTCTATAATTCCTTTCCCTCAAAACTGATGAAAGTATGCATTTTGATGAAAAACTCAAGGAAAATAACTTCTTTGTAACTTTCCCTAACCTAACCTAACCTGGCCTGACCTACCCTAAGCTAACCTAACTTTTTCAAACCCATCAGATTGGAGTAAAAGTGGTATTTTATTACTCTGCAAAGGATACCCTTTCGCATTATAAATTATTATTAAATTCGGTTTAAGGGTCAAAATAACATGATGTTGGGCATCCTCCTTTATTTTCTAATATGACCAATTATATACGAAACATACCCCATATCCTCGATCCTATAAGTGGACCTACAATAGAAGTGTAAGTAAGAATAAATGGAATCTCTGTGAAACCTGGTCTGCATAGGAATCCTTGCCCCAGCTATATTGGTTCCATAGCAACCACTATGAACTAAGGGAATAGATGCCACCCTTTTGTGACGGTAAGGTAGTTTGCCGGTAACTTGTCAAACTCATTAATAACTTTTAGTGCTACCGGTCAGGCCAGAGAAGATATCACCACACATGGAATGAGAGGTATAGCTTTGAGAGCTGTGAAGAGTTGGGACTTTCAAGAAAAGGATATATAAGAAGCACGGGTCGTCATCCCTCCTCTACGCATGCCTGAGATATATTATTTCAATGTTATCATCGTCATGAAATAGATGCGTGAGAATAACGTTTTTATGTGTGATGTGGTCATACTTTCCATTGCTTCGCTTCTGGTACTTTACGAACTAAAACGGAGGAATTTCAACTGACCTTCCTCTTCTTGTCAGGTTAAAAAATTTTAACACTATCATGTTTGTTTTATGCACAATAAGGAAGCTCATTCTATCGACGACAAAGACCATGAGCAACTTCGAGATGTCTACCTTCAATTTCCCTGCTAATATTTCTCACTTAAACCTTATCAGACTTTACCACCACATCTAGTACATCACTATTTTCGTGGTCCAGGATAATACAATATGAAATTAAATAACTCTGTCCCCATTTCCAATGCAAAGGTGTCGAGTTCATCAGAATGCATTGGGATTGACCTGCCCCAGTACCTGCACTCACGGTAAGTTTCATGTTTATTGAAACTTGAAACTCCAAGTGATTGAATTTATTGAGTTTGGTGATCCTTGTTGCCAGCCGGGTTTCCCTGTAACCTAAACATTTTGTGAAATCACCCAAGGACTGCAGTCCGACGCATTTATCGGATATATTTAAAAACCGGTTCATTCTCTGAGTGAAAAATTCACACCTTCGAGAGCAATGCAGATAATACGTTTTTCTAGTGGGATGGCTTACAGTGTTCCCCTGGGCTGACGTGGCTGTCAGAACTGAGGCAGATGGATTCATTACATTCGTTCCTCCCCTTCCTCCTCCGACGTCACCTGTTATGGGATGCACAAGTGGTCAAGACACATGTATGCATAATAAATAATGCCTTCATGGCTCACTTTAAATAATGAGGAAACAGTTTCCTTACTCAAATTGGTGTGTTTCGTAGGCGGATGCTCACAATAGGCACATGCAAATCCATCCTTCTCTAATCTCTCATATTTGTCACAATCACAGCCCTCACTTAAGCACTGCCCTCTTTCTTTCCCTCTCGGGTCAATGTTATTCATTGTGAATCTTTCCTGGAAACCAACATCATAATAGAGGTTCATTAAGAACATGACCCACGTCATAAATCCAAAAGGGTGATTTAGGCAAGTGAAACATGGCATGATGGTCTATAATATACGCGACCACATGCACAACCTTAATCATAACACATCTTAAACCATTGCTCCACCCACTTTATCATCAAGGCTTTGTTCATTTATGTTATATAATTTTCAAAGCAATATAGCAAGAGCTTGTGGTGAACGCATGGAATGAGTTGGAAAACAAAGTAGTGGATGCCCCTTCCGTGACTTTATTTCAAAGAAGACTAGATGCTTTTATGGACAAAGGTAAGAGGGGGTAATGTATACGTAAGGGACCAAGCAGTATGCGACTGGGATATGCCTTAAAAGAGCATTAAAATATGCATTTGTTATGATAAGGATGTCAGTGAGAGGCAGTAATAAATTCCCAGGTTCGGTGGTGTAATGGACCTGACCGGCAATCAGGAGACCCAGGTTCAATTCCCGGCCGTCCCCTGGCCTGGCCATGCGATTCAAACGTGCTTTGATTTTCGTCTTTGTCGGAGGTGAGAACTCACTAACATATTCTTGGCCAGAATGTTGGAATTCACCCGTCTTGGAATGGTATGTCCGATTGAAAATCACTACATGGTGTTTAAAAAACCTGTCAATTCGTTTTTTTTTACGAATGATGGTAAATTTCATCCGATCCGCCCAATATTTCATAAACTGCATGTGGATATGTTAAAGGAGGTTTTTGTGGATTTTTAACTATATCGACCGAATGCATCGCGTGCTATATTGTTTAAAACTTGACAGTTAAGAAAATTCACTTCTGAGAAATTCACTTTACCCTTACGGAAAAATCCTATAGGATCCTATACGATTACCTAGAACTGACCATTCCCTCGTTCGCTTTCCTTTCCCTGGGGGAAATTGCCAGACCTCATCGATGAAATGGTGGATGTGCAGAAAGTATCCTTCCCGGAGGAAAGATTATGTCTGGAGGAGGAGGATGGTCGTATTCAGGGATGAAACGAAGTCGAGGGAAGCTCGGAGTTAGAATAAGTGTTTAGAGGAAGAATTGAAGGAAGGGATCATGAAGACGTTGCATTTTGGCCAGGAGCGCGTTATGATTCCTCTAATGATGGAGTCCCCCCCCTCCAAAAAAAAATATATTCCCCGGCATAGAGTGATCTCAGTTCCTTACAATTGAATAAAATAGGGAACGGGAGTCCGCATCACCATGCTCAAGGAACGCAGTTTCGAGGAAATACAGAGAGATGGAATTGCTCCTAGAAAGACGAAAGTGCACTATTCATGACGAAGTTGTGCAGTTGCACATGTGAGAACGAAACTGCGCACTCCATGACGATGTGCAATGTCGTCGTGTAAAGTGTATTTACGTCTCGATGGAATACATAGAGAGCGCTGCATATGTCTTGGATCCAAGGTAAATCGAAGACGCTCTAGCTCTCAGGTAAGGACGACCCATAGTCACAATGATAAGCTGTGATGGAGCCATCTTTAGTCCATGCTGAGGGCCCCGTTCCTCCTACTTTGCATTGAGATGCCACG